ACGCTGCCCCACGAGGACCAAGACGTAGGAGGGGGCTCCAAGCCAGCGCTTGTCCTGAGCTTCAACCGCTACAAGGGAGGCATGGACAACCTGGACAAGGTCTTCATCGCCTACAGCTGCAGGAAGATGAAGGCCCGCTGGACATCTTCCACAATGTGCTCAACGTCTTGTACTACAATGCCTTCTTCATTTGGAGGGAGCTCAACCACGGCTGGATGCATGCCAAGCAAGACAGGAGGAGGCTCTTCCTCAAGCAACTGGACAAGGCTCTCGTCGCTCAGCTTGGTAGGAGGAGGTGTCTCCTACATGCCCCATCCTTGGCCATGATGGTAAGGGACTCATGGATGGCAGCCAAGCCACGATGGGCTGGTCCTCAATGGCCACGGCCCATGATGGATCACCGTCTTCATCGCCATCGTCCTAGTCCCCGTCCTCGCCCCGGTCTCAAACGCCTCCACCCCGGCTCCCACTGTCTAGCAAGAGGAAGAGGTGTCATCTGTGTCCTTCCAGAAAGTACTTGAAGACCCAAAGCATGTGCTCCGGGTGAGAAAGGTTAGTGTGCAGTGGGTGTGCTCTCCTGTGCTGTCAAATGTGCCTCTGTCACTTCTCCCGTGGGGGGGGGGGGGGGGGGGAACACAGGAGGAAAAAAGAAAGGAGAAAGAAAACGTGACTGAATTCTGAACAACGCAGGTGCATGCGTTTATGATGGTGGGCGGTTGACCACGCCCCTTTACTCCACAACGGAACCTTTCCGTCTCGTTTTCGTTCCCCTGACTCAAGAACTACAGGAGGGCTTAACGTTTGCTACTATTAGAGCTTTAATTTATCGTTTTGCTACAAATAACGTTTAGTTAACATTTTGCTACTTGTAGCTTGTTTTGCTACTTTTGGCATTTCGAGTTTTTTTTTTTTTTTTTTACTATTTCGGCCAGGTTGTCCTCGGGCTGGTTCGATGAGTAGTAAGCGGCCATTTTGCCTGTAACATTTGAAAGTAATGCACTGTCATTCCCCAATCTGTTACGGAAGCACGATCCCTAGTGTACTTCCGGGTCACACGGATCACCGTTGTTTATGAATGAAAACTGTCATTTACTTAGAAAAGTACGTGCTCTGTCTCCGCCGATCTTCATGTAGCTAATTTACGCCACTCGTATTTCTGTTGCAAATCCTTGGTTAAGATGATATGCAACGCATTAGACCCCACCCCCAGCCTGAATGGTAAAACAGCGCCGCTCAGTGGTGAAGCTGCATATCATTTTAACCATGACGTAAACATGTCAATGATTTTAACGGAAATACGAGTGGCGTAAATTACCAACATGAAAATTGACGAAGATAGAGCACATACTTTTCTATGTAAATTAAGACAGTTCTTATAAATGGAATTATACCAGTACATTTTATTTAATCTAGCATATTAAACGGCGATCCGTGCGACCCGGACGTATTCGGGCATGTGAAATTGAGCTACAGATCGGGTTCCATAACAGATTGGGGAATGGCATGCACTGATGATCGATTGTTTTAGACTGGTGCTCCATTTTGCATGTGTTCTGCCTGGAAACTCAACAGCAGGCTGGTTTGAAACACGTCAGCAAGCTGCTACTTAATATACAACAAATCCTGTTGGCAAGCCTCAGACTGATGAAGTCCTTCGGATGAAATATTTTCTTCCAAAAAAAGAAACAGTCCAGACATGATTTAACTTTTTTGGTGATTTATTTATCTGGATGATTGAGCCTACTTACTTTTTTATTTATTCTTTTGACACTTAGATAGACTTCTACTTTTAGCTAACCTTTTGCAGCTTTCAACTACAATTTCACTACCTTTAGCTTTTAGCAAGTAGTTAGCTACTTTCAGCTTTTAGCTGGAATTTTGATTTGTTTACTTTTAGCTTATGTTTTGCTCCTTTGAGCTAGATTTTTTTTTCTTTTAGCTTTTAGTGATCTGCTTCTGTTGGCTATCAACTCAGTTTTACCTGAACAAATTTAAGCAAAGTCTTTTATCTCAGGGAAAGTATTTGGGCAACAAGGCACCATTGTTTGTCATGGGGGGGGAAAGATCAAGTTTGTGTTGAAATAAATGTTAACATGTCTAACTATCCTTAGATTTACATAATAAACAATTCAAGCAACAGATATGAGTTCAGCTTGCATGAATAAAAGTGTGAACCTCATCTTCACTGTTCAGCTGGGAGAACATAGATGTGTTTTGTTCCGGACACCTCAGTCCATCTAACAAACCGCAGCGGATCAACAACAGCATGATGTCATCCTGTACAAATCTGGCCCAGAAAAGGTGCAGCCCAATACAAACAACCTTAACGAAGCAGATGATTTAAATGTGTCATTTCTGTCAGCCCCCTCCAGCTGCTTTGATCAACTGGTTTCTTTTTAAGGGCAAACTGGGTGACTGAGCTCCATGATGAGGCTGACAGGCAGATTTATGTGCAGCGTCCTCCGTCACTTGGAGCGGGTCCGAACCGCTCAGGTCCGCTCCACGCAGCGCACATTTAACCATTTACACCAAAACTAGCAGCTCAACTTCAAGAAGAGACACTGAGGCTGGAACTTGACTGAGACTCCTCTGCCTCTGAGAAAGGAAACCGAGCCAGACAGGCTCTGACATCAGGAGGTTAATATTTACCAGCTTGTTACTGTACGTGCGCTGCAGCCGCGGATCCCACAGCGAAAGGGCCACAAGAAGAAGTCCGCATTTCCTGGACCGAGATGCGCCGGATGCGATCGCTCCGTGTCCGCGTCTGTTCGGGGGGAGAGCCGGGGAGGGCGGCTCGCTGCGCTGTCAAGCCCGACGGCGGTGCCACGTTCAGCTGATCGCCACAACAAAACATTTCGCCCCTACGCGAAACACACACTCCGCGTTTTCACACCCTCTTCCCTCCTCGTTTTGGCCACGCCCTCGTTCAGAAGCTCCGCCCTCTCGGATCAGTCTCCACCAATGGACCGGCGGGTCTCATGAATAACCAGGAAGCGGCTGAGAAAGGCCATTGGCTGGAAGCGTCACTTCCTGGTTTCTGCTTCTCTGATTGGCTGAGCGCCGAGAGAACAGGAGTTGAGGACACTAACTGGATTTTTCACGCACTCCTGAGCTTTTCCACTAAAAAAAATCTTATTGATTTGAAGCTAATAGTCTCTCTCTCTCTCTCTCTCTCTCTCTCTCTCTCTCTCTCTCTCTCT